TCTCATTATCATTCAATATATTGAATAATAATTAGTCAAAAAATTATAAGCAATAAGAACAAGGATAAACATTTAATAAAAAAAAAATTCAAATAACTTGAAATTTAAATTTTGTAATCAAAACTAGATTGCATCAAATTTCAAGAAAAATAAAATTTAGTTCATAATAAATCTAAAATAAACCTTGTTTTGATTGAAGTATATCAAGAAAAAAATAAGGAGAAGAATAAAAACTTTTTTTTTTTAATAATTGGTTGAAGAAGCACTCCATTGTAACGCTTGGTTTCTTCTAGTTCTCTCCTCTCCTTTTAATGGTAAAAAGAACCTTGTTTTATTAGCTTTGATCATGGTCTCTTCCTTGATCTTCTCTTCTTTTTTTTTTGTTCAAAATCTCTTTTTATTTGATTCATGATTTTCTTTCTGGAATTGACAGATTCATACCTGTAACTTTTAATTCTATTTTCTTTATCATATAAATTTATTTTGAGAAAGTTATAAATATAAAAGTTATATATCTTCATCTTATCTTTATTGTGACACTAAGATCGTTTAATTTGAATATCTATAAAGAAAATTATGTTTGATTTACCATGACTTATAAAATTTTTAATAAGGAAATCTCTTTATTAGTAGAAAAGATAATTTCACTTCTTAATGAGTTTCTTTAATACCATGAGTCTCGGAATAAAGTTTAGCTATAATTCAATGATTAAATTCTGAATTTTAACTCCAAAGCTTATGATTTCATGAATTTTTTTTTTTGATATATAAGATAAAAATATTCAAGATAAATAATTAGCATAAAATTTAAATTGAAAATAGACAAAAAATCATATAAAAGTGTAGGACATTAATAAGCTTCACATGGTAAACAAGTCTTGAATCTCCAGAATAGTGAAAGAATTCCAGAGTTCATGAGAATTAGAGCATCTTTCATCTCAGCAAACAGCAGTAATCTCAAATACACATGTTCAGTCATTATTTTAAGCTCTTCAGAGAAGTTATAAAACGTGGTCAAGAAAGACAACGTTTGTTCATGAGTAGTTTTCAGGACAGTTACAAAAAGATCAATAAAAGACAATATTGTCATTGGGATAGAGACAAATGACCTTCGAAACTAGATTGAAACAGATAGGTTTTCAATTTGGGTATCGAAGAAAGATTCCTCAGATTTGGATGGGTTTTCTTTAGTTGTCATGATCGAGTTTTAGTAGAGGAGTTGTTTTTGCAGAAGGGTTTGATTTTGCAGGGAAGAAAAGTATTACCTAAATCTGATAAAGTTGAAACCTGCAAACAGCTCTCACAACGTCTTTTACAAGTTTCAGAACACCTAAAACTTGGATGGTTACAATTCGCAGGCAATCTGATAGAGTTTTAGGCTAATAGCTTGGTTTCTCCTAAGCTCATAATCATTTCTCAAGCATTAAATCCCTGCATGAATATCATAAATGGAGAAAGAGTCCTCGTTTATCAGCATAACTTCTTTTTTTTCAAAATTATCCATTGTTAAGCCTTGCAATCTTCCTTTCAATTATCCATCTCTACCTTTATCAATTGTCATCATGGATCCCTTGACAAATGAACAAGTTGATTATCCACCAAGGTTAACTAAGTTTATCCAGCGATCTATTTAATTTTAAACCCTGTCACGATTACAAGTTGATTTAATTTTCACTTAAAAAGAGAAAAGAAGATCTTCCTTTAATTTTATGTCCAACTTGTGAGATTCCAATTAAGACATGGAAATGCAACGTAAATAATCAAACGATAAAATAGCTGAGACACGTGACAATTAGGTCATTTCATTTGTCTTAGTCTTACGAAAATGGGAGCAGAGCAATAATGAAAACGCAGAAATGTGATCGATTCACTTATAAATTATCAATCCCAGGTGCTAGTATATTATATTGTAAGTCCAATCATTTTTCATTTGCTTTTTCTTACTTAATTTATTATTTTAGATTTAACATTATTGGTAAATAAGTTTGTGTGCCTGCAAGGACAGGTTATAGCAAATTCAGGCATTATTGGGTAGCCCCCCTCCAAAGTCATTTTCTTTTTTAAAAAAGGTGAGGATTTATTTATTTATGAGTGATGAATATGAGTTCTTTGGAATTTTGATATATATTACTATTTAAAGTATTTTTTTATTTTAAAAAATTAATTTCAAGTATAAAAAATAAATTTTTTTATGAAAAATAAGTTAAATCACAGCTCCAAAAGCACATAGAAATCTAGTAAAAAAAATGAAAAGTTATATTTTATCCAACCATGATATTTATAATCACTTTCTGAATTTTTTTTTCCTTGTGAATGCACAAATTTAATATGAATGATCTATTAAATTTGATTAAAAAAATAGTGTTCAATGTATGAAACTTATTTGATGAATGTACTTAGATTTTTTTTTATCATGTAGTTTGAAAATATCTTTTATTTTATGAGACAATAGTTTTTAATTAAAGGAAAGATTTGAGATAAAATTTTAGGAGTCAATTAATTTAATAAATAAGATTGATTTTGAAATCAAATATTTTTGGAAAAAGAGATGGAATAATTTTTAATTTTGCCTTTTATTTGAATTTCATTGTCTAAGACTTGATTGGTAATATAATTATAATTTTATAGATATCATTAAAGTTTTTTTTTAATTGCAACTTAAATCAAGAATTTAACAATAATGGCTATTAAAATAAATTATTAACAATGTACAATCAAATTAATAGAAACGGAGAAATTATTATTCACCATACCTATTATATTGTGAATTGCAATAACAATTTATAATATATTGTTTCTTTTAGTTTTTAAAAACTATTATTCATCCACACTCATTACATTGTGAATTACAATAATAATTCACAATATGTTGCTTTTTTAAAAAAAATCTTTGTTATCATTTCTTTGAAAATTGTTTTTGTTTATTTCATCTTTTTAATATTAAGATTATTGATAATTGAGTTTTGTTATTTATTTAATTTTTTTATAGGAAATATTCAAGTGGTTTACGAGTTTATTAGAGTAATTTAAATTGTCTCAATTTATAGGTTTGGTAGAGTTTTTTTTTTTATTAAACTTGCCTTTGTTATTATTATTTTTTTATATAGTTTTTTTAAAAATAATTTTTGAAAAGAGCCTTGTATATTTATAAAATCTGTTACAACCAGAAATTAATTAATTTATTCTACCTAAAAAGTTGAGAAATAGTTGAGTTCATTTAGCAACCTAATTAATGTATATGAATAAATATCTCCATCTAATACACAAAATGCTTTTTTATATATCATCTAAGCCAACCAAACAAGTTGGCATCACCAGAGATTCTTGAATTATTAAACAAGTAATTCAAAAACAAATAGTAGGGTGATCAAGAAAATAGTTTTTTTTTTACTTTAAATATTTAAATTGGTATTCAAAATAATTTATAAAATTTATTGGAATGCATTAAGCTCATTCACGAGATGGGATTTAATCTATACCATTTAGGATCCACAAAAAAGAAAGATTCTAAAAATTATATACTTGAAACAAAAATGGCAAATTTATGTTGACCATGTTTTCTTTCTAATAATATCAAAAATAAACTTTTATCCTTGAGAATCCTTCAAAATTAAATTACAGAATGCAAGATAATGCTAGCTGACGTGGGAACCCCCTATAAATACTCTTCTCGTCAAGGGCATTATTCTTGCAAGAGCTCAATCTTCTCACCCTTGTCTTCTTCTCTCTCCTTTAATAATTCTCTGACATAGCCAGGAGATGGGTAATAAACACACGGAGGAGATTGGTCTTGGCTATGGTCATAAACGCCTGGACAGCCTTGAAGAGAATGTTTCTGTGTTCTTTCCTGAAGATTTTGCTGATGAGTCTGGTCGCTCTTTCGAGGACGAAGATGACTACGAGTCTGATCACGGCTTCCATGACCCCATGGAAAGGGCTATATTTTGGGAATCCCAAGAGGCCTTGCTTCAGGTATTTAATTTTAATTACAATAATTTACCAAAAAAAAAACAGAGATTATAATAATTATAACTAAAGGGTTGGAATTGCTTCCTTTTGTTCTTCTGTATTTGGCTTCTTTAGAAATGATATATCATGCACGATGCTATTCAAGTTCAGAAGTTTACTATGGCCAGCTACCTGATCAGGAAATTAATATTATTAGTATGTTTGCAACTAGATAAAAAAAAGGAAATGAATATTAATAAAAATTTTACAATTAATCTCTTTATAATAGGATAGTTAGTACTCCAAAATCTCTCATCCTAGCCTTTAACCAATAATTAAGTGTTAAGTTTTTTTCATTTTGTGTTATCTTTAGACTATGGATTTGAGACAAAATTGAAATTATGCAATAACTACTTGGATTGCAATACGAATTTATAAATGTTTGTCTGTGTATAACATAGGATATCAATTGGTATAGTGATGCAACAACATACAGGGACCGACCTCCATTATGTTTTGGGGAGCTTGGCACCCTCAAAGTTTTATAATATCTTAATTTTAGTATTTTTTTTATATTTTTCATAATACTTATACATACAGCCCATTTTAAAATAAAATATTTACTCTCCAACCTTATAATTTTTACATGAAGGCACCCTCAGAAAAAAAAAAAAAACTTATAGTTCCGCCCCTGTCAACATAGGATGGGAGCTTGTTTTGAGATTTTTTTTCCTTTAATATTGGTACTATTTATTTTTGCAGTGGAGCAATGCTTTTAAAATAATAGATTTTTTAAAATTAATTTTCAATGTTTTTGAATCATTTTAATATATTTATAAAAAATATATTATTTTAATATACCTCTAACTAAAATAAACTTTAAAAAATAACTATTATTATAATATTAAATACTGCAATAATTCTTGATACAGAGCATTTGAAGAATGTACTTGTTTTTCTAAGATGCTCTCTGAATTGGAGTACTCTTCAACGCCAAAAAGATTTGTGAATTAAAGTGACCAATCATTAGTTATTTTTTTCTATTTCTGTAGAGATATGATTTTGAGATTTTTCAGCACTGAATCCACTCATTGAATGGACAAGCAACACCAGGGGACTTCCTGGAAACCACTACCACCATATTGATTTAGATTTTTAGACGAATCAGGTCCTTTTGTCCAGAGAATATAAGATGTTTTGGGGGCGGAAAGTATAAACATCAAAATAAATGTGTTAAATATTGTATGGTTGTCACTGATTTGGAAATTTGCTCAATTTTGGCATCATTTTCGTTACAGACAACCTTAATTGTAACTGGTAATAATGGTGCCACATGTACCGTCGCCATCCTCCAGTTGTTAACAATGAATCGTGTGCAAATTGGGTAGGAATGAAAGCGATGTCCACCCATAAAATCTTGGAGAAAGAAGACAAATTTAGCTTCGATTGGGCTATATTGTACTTCGTTGAAATTTCAATCGTCATTTCGATAGTGGGTAAGAAGGGCGATAAAAAAAAGAAAAAAAAAACTTATTACTATGACGTACTGAATCGAGCACTTCTATAAAAATAAATAAATAAAAATATAGGGAGTAATTTTAGCCAACTCACGAGCTCATTACCTCGTGAAAGCTCTTAATAATGTAACAGGTAATTGTGAGATTTAGCGATGCCGATAATTTTTTTTGCAGGAAGTCTTGAACCGCTGTAGCAAAACAGGTTCAAAGTTAAGGCAGGAGGTCTACAGAATCACAGGGGTAGCGAAGGAGGCTGATTTTTGCAGCTGCCTGAAGCCCAGTAAAGGGTGCACTAGCTGTTTAAGGCAGAGGGTTGTCAATTTGCTCACCCAAAAGGGATTTGTTGCAGCTCTTTGCACGTCAAAGTGGAAAAACACCAAAAAGCATCCAGGAGGTGATCTAATTCTATACTTGTATGCTTAATTAAATGGATTTATTAAATTTAAAATTAACTTTTTTTAGGAGGTACAACAAGGTTTATACTAGACAACTAAGAACAATTTTTTTAACAAAAGATTATTACATAAAACATGGTTACTGTAGAGCAAGAGAATTCATATTTCAGGGAATATAAAATTTTATGCTGAAATTGAGATCCACTGCACCAGTCAAGAAATTATTACATTATCCTTATCCTTTTTAAAATTTGAAGGTGAAACCTTGAAATAGAAGATTAGGCAAATTCTACAAGGCCTTTAAATAGAAAATATAGTCATGAAAAGATCTATTCTTTCCTTCTTGTATAAAAGAGTTATGCTGTTTCTTAAGATACCCCTTCTCTCTCTCTGTGTTTAATATGACTTTTATCCATGCCCTTAATTTCCAGGGAAGCATGAGTACGTAGAAATGATTGCAAGCACAATCGGAAGCAAGAAGAAAATTCCATATCTGATTGAGTTGGAATTCCGAGACCAGTTTGAGATGGCTAAAGCATGTGATGAGTACCGCAATCTTGTGGCCCAGTTGCCAGAATACTACATAGGAAAAGCTGAATACCTCAACGCCATTGTGGGCATTCTATGTGATGCAGCCAAGAGATCAATGAAAGAGAAGAAAATCCACATGGGTCCATGGAGAAAGAGAAGCTTCATGCAAATGAAATGGTCTAATACTTCTGGAAGAAGGTCTGTTGATGATTCTTCAAGCAAGATATCTTCTCTGCCCTCATCAAGACAAGCACATGAATCTTGCTTTCACTTCTCTGCTGCTCCAGCATTGACTGTGACTTAGAAGGTCATACGATGTCAACCAATTTTGTTCTTGTGATAGGGAAGTTTTGACCGTCTTGAGCAGTGCCACCTGTATAAGTAATCCATATGGATGGAGGCAATGAATAGGATTATTGTATACCGAGTGCTTGTAGTTGTACTTGCGGCTATATATGGTTGAAGGCAGACCCCGATGCTGAGCTTTCTAAATGGGGAGCTAGTTTGGCATCTTTGTGGGTCATTTAAGTAGTATTGTAAGTCATGTTAGAGGGGCTTGAAGTGTTCCAGTACGATGCTAGAATACTGCATTGTTCAGGATAAAAAACATTGAGTGTAATATCATTGATGTATTGTGTTCAAGTTTTATGCAACTATATATCCATCATCGCGTGCATTTTGTGCAGTGTGTTTCCATTAGAAAATTAACTTTGTAGTTTAAAACAAGGTGTGTAGAAACATAAATTTTCTACCAATCAAATTTCATCAAGTTTTATTTTATTCTTTAAAAGAAAGAATAAAATAAAATTGAAATAAATGACATGGAAAATAAATGAGCCTTTATATATTTCTTGACCAATGAAAAGTTGACACGTGGGATGAGATATTCAAGATATCTTATCATAAATTCAATATCCCATCATATATCTTTTCATAAATATATCATATCAATAAATATCAACCAATAAAATTATGCCATGTGGCATTGGAAAATGACCTGAGAGCCCCTACATATCTCTATAAATAGAGGGCCTCAACCTAAAGGAAAAGGATTCCGGGAGAGACAAATTTTCTTCAAGTCAAACTCTTCAAGCAAGGAAGCCCTCTCTCTCAAAGAGTTCTCAAGCCTCCTTCATCTACGCTTGAAGCCTACAAAGAACGAAGCTCTGTTGGATCAAGCCAAAACACCCCATAAGAGTTCTTCAACAACACTTTGAAGACGAATCAAAGGTAATCTTCAAAGCATCAAATCATCAAATCTTGCTTCGCAATACACGCCCAAATTCACGTTCTTGCAAAGCACGAATCTTGGCTTGATTACTCAAATAAATCAAGTCACCATACATCAAATCCAAGGGAAGAATCAGAGGATTGTCATATTCTTTTGAAAGAATATATTACATAGAGATTGTACCCATTCATATATTAATAAAATCATATATTTGTACACGTGTGCTTGTTTAATTTCAGGTGCTCAAAATTGTGTCTATAAATTTCTGGCGACTCCACTGGGGAAATCTCTACCTCTCATCTCTTCCCTTCAAGAAAGAATTTTCAACAAACTCTTAATGGCAACTAGGAGGAACATTATCACCATTGTTGCTTCGAAAAGCAACAAGGCCACTGATTCAAGTCACCAATATACTATTGAAGATTCTTCAACACTGCCATTGAAAACAAAATCCATCGTCGAGTTGTATGAACAAACTAAGCCGACTCTCAAGTTGACATCAACTTCGAATGCAAGAGGGGCACCAGATCTCGCCTCGAAAATAAAGCCACAAGCAACTCCACTACAAGAGTCTAGTGGGGCGTGCGAAATTCTCTTCAGCATTCAAGGTGACTTCGACAATTCACCTATGGAAACTTCTCCGTGTCAATCACCAAGTAAGGCTCTGAGTTTTGGCACCATGTCAGTGATGATGACCAAGACAACATCTTTAGAGGATCTAGTGGCTAACTTGACAAAACTTGTCGCAGGGTTTTCGACTTCACTTAAGGCAAAAGACCGCGAGATAGCAAAATTGATGAACAAACTTGAGAGCTTGAACGAAGGAGGCCAAACCTCGACTACCAAGGCTTTTCAAGCAGATCAACTAGATGTCATTGAGGAGTCTACAACCGGAGCTGCGAAGAATGTACGCAGTATTACTGATGGCATCTTCACCACAAATCAACTGAAAGAACTCATCAAGGAAGCCATCACAGACCAAGTGGAAAGCTCAATTCAACCCTCGTATTCGTATGCGAAGCCGTACACCCAAAGAATCGACATGTTAAAGATGCCTCTAAGTTACCAACCACCAAAGTTTCAACAATTCGATGGTAAGGGAAATCCTCGGCAACACGTAGCTCACTTTGTGGAGACCTGCAACAATGCCGGAACTAATGGTGATCTCATGGTAAAACAATTTGTTCGTTCCTTAAAAGGTAATGCCTTCGACTAGTACACTGACTTGGAGTCTGGCTTGATTGATACTTGGGAGCAGTTAGAGCGCGAGTTTCTTAACCGCTTTTACAGCACTCGTCGCGTGGTTAGCATGATTGAACTCACTAATGCACGTCAATGGAAGGAAGAGCCTGTCATCGACTACATTCATCGGTGGAGAAACCTTAGCCTCAACTGTAGAGATCGGCTCACCGAAACTTCTGCACTAGACATATGTATTCAAGGGATGCATTGGGGACTACGCTATATTCTACAAGGCATCAAACCAAAGTCTTTTGAAGAATTGGCTACTCGTGCACACGATATGGAACTTAGCATTGCGGAGGCTGAAAGTTCATTATTACCCATGCAAGAGCCTAAAAGAAATAAACCTGAAGGTCGTAGATTCGGAAAGAGCACTCTAAAAGTCGAGGGAAAGCAATCTTTAGTAGTTAACTCAGCTACTGTAAGGGTACCAACTGGAGTTAAGAGGAATGATCATGCAACGCCCACTACTTTTCAAAAGGGTGAAAGAAAGAAACCATCCTTGAAAGAGCGACAAGAAAAAGTGTATCCATTCCCCGACTCAAACATATCTAGGATGTTGGATGATCTGCTTGAGGCAAATATCATTGAGTTTCCAGAAGTGAAACGCCTTGAAGAAGTAAACCAAGTAGATAATCTGAATTATTGCAAATATCATCGCTTAATCAGTCATCCTGTAGAGAAGTGTTTTGTGTTGAAAGACAAGATCATGAGGCTACACGAGAATGGAGATATTGTCTTTGATGATGAAATAACAGCCTCTAATATCATAACCACGGTCAATTTAGGACCATGTCAATCACTCCCTACAATAAGTTTCGGCTCCTTTGAACCTATAAGACTTGATGCCATTTTCCCGATGAGCTTCGCTGCATCCTCAAGTCTAACTCCATGCATAACCCTCATACCTCAAGTTGACAACTTGAAGCCTAATTCATTTGAAAATTATGATGATGAAGGATGGACTTTAGTCACGCGTAAAAGAGGAAGAAAGAAGCACATGTAGATGACAAAGCCAACTAGAATAAGAATGTCAATGGTGAGGAAGCTAATTGATGAGCCGATAAGTCGAAAGACTGAACGAAAGTCCATGCCAGCTAGAAAGGAGAGTTTTTCAATGCAAAGTCTAAGAAAGCCCGTTATACTGAATGAGTACATGCCAATAGAGATAAGAAGAGTTGAAAATGTACTTGTTACTTGCTATCAGGTTGATAAAGAGAAAACTCTTATTGAACCTATCATGAAGGAAGGTTATGATGACTCTTCAAATTTATGTCACGGTGTATGCACAATAGAGATATCCTTCAGCGATGAAGACTTGTTGCTTGGATCAAAACTCCATAACCGACCTCTTTTCATTAAAGGATATGTTGATGAAAAGATGGTGAATCGTATCTTGGTGGATGATGGCTCAGCGGTCAATATACTACCTCTTAAGACTATGAAAGAGCTAGGGATTCCTATGGATGAACTTTTCCCAAGTCATTTAATGATTCAAGGTTTTAATCAAGGTGGGCAAAACGCCATCGGAAAGATAAGACTCGCAATGCACATGGAAGATATGGAATCCAATGCACTTTTCCATGTCATAGATGCCAAAACTACTTACAATATGTTGCTTGGGCGACCATGGATGCATGAAAATGGTATCATCTCCTCAACACTCCACCAATGTTTTAAGTATTGTCGAGATGGACAAATAAGGAAGATAGTGGCGGACACCGACCCCTTCACCATAGCTGAAGCTCACTTTGCAGACACAAAATTCTATTTCAAGTCAAATGTGATTGAAGAGCTACGATCCCCACCTGACCATCTAGGAGAGGGAAGAATTGACTCCAAAAGCTGAAAAGGGCATAAGTCATCTGCAAATGAAAGGGTGTCTCAGCCGATGAGGAATCAAGGAAAAGAAAAGGTGGTAGAAAACTTTGTTAACAATAAACTACCACTTAAAGCCACAGTACTCCGATATATCCCAGTATCAGCAAGAAAAGAAGGTCAATCTTCTTTTGCCAAGGATGAAGAGAAGATCAATAAGGGGCTTGAAAACTTGACCTTGCCAGCTACTAATCTCGCCTTGAACAAGGTCTCAAAACCTTTATTAAAAGGGTTCGTTCATCAAACTGAGTTGGTGGTGATAAATCCTAGAGGACTCCCTGATAAACGGGCGAATGGCTTTGATCCCAATGCTTATAAGCTTTTAGCTAAGGCTGGTTATAGTCGTGAGGACATCAATAAGTTAGTGAAGGATGGTGATACTACTCAACTTGAAGGTAAACACGTTTCTACAAAGACTAGAAAGGCATGGAGAGAGAAGGAAACTTACGGCAAAACTTTAAGGGCTGGTCTTGGATACGAGTCTTCTACACCGCTACATTTTCAGATTAATAAAGAAGCCTCACAATACATAAGTGCGGAAGAAGTGAAGGACAAACAACAAAATCAGTTGGCACCTCTTAGAGCTTCAGTCTGGGATCGTCTTGGTGGAACTACAAGTCGTGCTCCTGTTTTTGCCAGGATTGGAACCCAAAATAATGGAAAGGCGCTAAAACGCACATCAGTCTTTGCAAGACTTGGACAATCCATGTCAAAAGATAACAAGCATACACTCGATCATCAATCAAGTTCGATGAGTGATTTAAAGGTTCTTCGTAGCAAAATACCTTCACGCATGAAGAGACAATGTGAATGGATGGTGAGTGCTGAGGAGACATTGAAAGGAAAAACACACACAATAGTGATGACAAACCCCTATAATGAAGAAAAGGAAGATGAAATAATGTGTCTCACTTCAAATCACATCACTATTGAAGAAGATGATAATGATAAGTTTGTCGTTGAAGAAGATGTTGAGGAAGCTCTGCCTTCCCTTGAATCAGAAAATAAGCCTACAATGGATGAACTTAAAGAGGTTAACTTGGGAACTGTTGAAAACCCACGACCAACCTTTATCAATGCAAATTTATCACTTGAAGAGGAAGCAAATTACATGGAACTTTTGATGGAGTATCAAGATGTCTTTGCTTGGTCCTATGATGAAATGCCAGGTTTAGACCCAAGGGTTGTTGTCCACCAACTAGTAGTAAAACATGGGGCTAGACCTGTAAAACAAACTCAGCGTCGCTTCCGTCCTGAACTCATATCACAGATTGAGGTTGAAGTCAATAAACTTATCCAAGCAGGTTTCATTCGTGAGGTCAAGTATCCTACATGGATTTCAAATATTGTGCCAGTAAAAAAGAAGAATGGCCAAATGCGTGTTTGCGTGGATTTTCGAGACCTTAACAATGCTTGTCCCAAAGATGACTTTCCACTTCCAATTATCGAGATCATGGTCGACGCTACCACAGGTCATGGGAGATTAACCTTCATGGACGGTTCATCTGGCTATAATCAAATTCGAATGGCACCCGCAGATGAGGAGAAGACGGCCTTCCGAACTCCGAAAGGGATATATTGCTATAAAGTTATGCCTTTTGGCTTAAAGAATGCAGGTGCCACTTATCAAAGGGCGATGCAGAAGATTTTTGATGATATGCTTCACCAACATGTTGAATGCTATGTTGACGACCTCGTGGTGAAATCAAAAGAAAAAGAAAATCATTTGCAAGATCTTCGTTTGGTATTTGAACGATTACGTCGATTCCAGCTAAAAATGAACCCACTAAAATGCGCATTTGGTGTGTCATTAGGCAAATTCCTAGGGTTTATAGTTCGACATCGAGGGATTGAGATTGACCAGTCTAAGATTGAAGCCATTCTAAAAATGTCAGAGCCAAGAAACATCCATGAGTTGAAGAGTCTCCAAGGAAAGTTGGCCTATATACGGAGATTTATTTCTAACTTAGCGGGTCGATGTCAACCATTCACCCACTTAATGAAGAAGGATACGTCATTCTATTGGGATGAAGCTTGTACTAATGCCTTCAATAAGATAAAAAAATACTTGTTGAATCCGCCTGTCCTTCAAGCACCGGTACCGAGACGCCCACTTATCCTCTAAATTGCAGCTCAAATACGTTCCTTGGGGGTGTTGTTGGCATAACAAAATGATGAAGGCAAGGAAAGTGCTCTCTACTACCTTAGTAGGACATTAAATGGGGCTGAACTGAATTATTCTCCAATAGAGAAGACATGTCTAGCATTAATGTTTGCAATAAAGAAGCTAAGGCATTACCTCCAAGCGCATTCAGTAAGACTAATCTCCCGAGCTGACCCTCTCAAGTACATCATCTCAAGACTAGTACTATCAGGAAGATTGGCAAAATGGGCTTTATTGCTTCAAGAATTTGAAATTGTCTACGTCTCATAAAAGGCTATCAAAGGGCAAGCACTAGCTGATTTTCTCGCTGATCATCCTATTCCCGATGAATGGAAGTTCTCTGAAGACCTGCCTGATGAGGACGTTTTGTTTATTGAAATGTCAGAACCATGGAAAATGTTCTTTGATGGCGTAGCACGACAAGATGGAGCCGGGGCTAGGGTTATATTCATCACACCGGAAGGAGAGGTCTTGCCTTTCTCCTTTTCACTTACCGAATGTTGTTCTAATAACATGGCCGAATATCAAGCCTTGATTCTTGGGTTGGAAATGGCGGTGAATATAAAGATGTCTCGCCTTAAAGTTTATGGGGATTCTCAATTAGTCATCAGACAACTCCTCTCACTATATGAAGTCAAGAAGCCAGAGTTCATCCCATATCACAAGTATGCACTTAAACTGATAACATCACTTGATTGTGTCACTTTAGAACATGTGCCACGAAAAGAGAATAAGCAAGCCGATGCCTTAGCAAATCTTGCGTCAACATTAGCATCATATAGTGAGGAGATAAAAGTCCCTGTATGTCAAAGATGGGTCGTTCCACCGCTAAATCATGACATAGAAGAGAAAGAACAAGTGGGTATAGTTTCTATCTACGAGATTGAAAGAGAAGACTGGCGTCAGCCACTTATCGATTATTTGAGACATGGAAAGCTACCTAAAGACCTACGTCACAAGACAGAGGTGAGGCGAAGAGCTTCTCGCTTCATATACTTTCAAGGCACTCTTTACCGACGCTCTTTTGATGGAGTGTTTTTGCGTTGTCTCGGAGAAGAAGAAGCAACAAAAGCACTAGAGGAAACTCACTCAGGGATCTGTGGAGCACACCAATCAGGCCCTAAACTTCACTTCTGGATCAAAAGAATGGGATATTACTGGCCGACAATGGTGAAGGATTGCATAGACTATGCTAGAAAATGTCAAAGTTGTCAATTGCATGCTAATTTGATCCATCAGCCACCCGAGCCTTTACACCCGACAGTTGCCTCTTGGCCCTTTGATGCTTGGGGACTTGATGTGGTAGGACCATTGCCAAAAAGCTCTGAGGGGCATCTTTACATATTGGCTGCAACAGATTACTTCTCAAAGTGGGCAGAAGCTGCAGCATTAAAAGAGGTCAAGAAAGAGACAGTTGTAAACTTCATTCGAACAAACATCATTTACTGTTATGGGGTACCAAGATACATCATAACCGATAATGGAAAGGAGTTCTACAATACAGCCATGAACAAGTTGTGTGCACAATTCAGCTTCAAATAGCATAACTCTTCTATGTACAATGCTCCGGCTAATGGTTTAGCAGAAGCCTTTAACAAGACTTTATGCAACATTCTCAAGAAGGTGGTGAATCGCTCGAAGAAGGACTGGCATGAGAGAATTGGGGAGGCATTATGGGCTTATCGTACTACATTCCGAACACCAACTCAAGCTACTCCATATTCCTTGGTATACAGGGTCGAAGCTGTTCTTCCACTAGAATGTCAAATTCCATCTTTGAGAATCGCAATCCAAGAAGGACTTTCCAATGAAGACAATGTTCATCTACGCCTTGAAGAGCTTGAAGCTTTAGATGAAAAACGTCTTGAGGCACAACATCGATTAGAATGTTATCAAGCACGACTTTGTAGGGCTTTCAACAAGAAGGTGCGAACACGCTCATTCCAAGAAGGAGATCTTTTCTTGGCAGTACGACGCCCAATAATCATGTCAAAACGCATGGACAACAAATTCCTCTCCAAATCAGTTTCACTTATGTGGTTCAAGAAGTCTACACCAATGGAGCTTACAAAATTATCGATGAGAATGGATTGAAGATTGGGCCTATCAACGGCAAATTCTTGAAAAGATACTATGCTTGAAATCTGATGTAGCTCCTGGCCCGCACGAGCTAAAACTGTGAAAGGCACAAAAAAAATAAAATTGAACTACGTTATGACTTGATCCTTTATCCACAAAGGTACGTAGGCAACTCAAAATCCATTCTAGGTACAGTCACAAAAAAGGTCTTTGATAAAAAAAAAACAAAAACAAATGTTTTGAACTACGCTGTGACTTGATCCTTTATCCATAAAGGTATGTAGGCAACTTAGAATTTATTCTAAGTACAGTCGTACATCATCCTTTAAAAGCTATTTGAGCCAATATGATTGTTCACATGAAAAAAAAAGAGGGATAAATAAACCTCAAAACACAATCATAAAATGGAAATCCAGGTAACAAGACACAAGTGAAGGTAAAATATAGACTTTATTAATAGAAAGAAGAATTCTATTACATAAAGTATGTAGCCTCAACAGAAAGTCACAAGCTGGTGTTACCAAAACAAAAAAATTCCAAAGCATAAGAAATCATTATCATACTACGGTTTCCAACTATGTCCTGCTAACTCCTTTTATTTGGTCTCCAACAATCCTTTCAATTTTTGAAGAATGGCTGCATCAGTTTCACTTATCACAAGGGAAGAGGATAGTGTGGTGATCTCTGCTCGAATGCTGGAGGTGATGATTTTCCTCTCAGAAAGTTTTTCATCACACGCCTTAAGAGATGACTCTAACTCAGTCTTCTTACTCTGCAGCTCCATTAATTGTTTCGCTATTTTTGTTATCTCAGCATGAGTGGTGGAAATAGATTTAGATGCCTTGTCTTCAAAAGCTTTTGAATCTTTAAGTTGTACTTCAAGCTTTTCAACATCTAAGGCTCGTTGCTCTGATGTCATCATAGGAGATAATAAAGCCTCTAAGTGGATAAACTTTTTAGCATCCTCAATCACCTCAGTCACCATTCTTCTGATAGAGGAGCAATCAACCTTTATATCTTCAATGGAGTGGAGGATCTTCTCAACTTCACCAGCCAGGTTAGGAATATAATGGATCGGTGTACGGACAATCTTATTTCTGATGCTCTCCCAACACTTGATAGCAAATTCAGATCTTATCTCTCTTATTATGTCATCAGCACAATACCTAGTAACTTCTAAAGGCTCAAAGGCAGTAGTAGGTCCAAGATTATGCAAGTTGGTCACTATATTAAAGATCGGCGGAGGTGGATTAGGCTGCTCATGTGGTGAACTAAATGAAGGATGAGAGTTTCCAATCCCAGTAGCTAAAATATTGAAAGGGTTAGGGCTAGCAACAGAAGCAAC